TCATCACGCGGGGTCGATCAAATAATATGTCTAAACTTGCAGTGCAGACAAGCTGTGCACAAATTAAAGGTTACATATAAGGCAGAACAAAATTGTGACATGGACTCGTATCATCGCTGATGGAAATTGCAAGGCGTGGTGTAGAATTGCCTAAGATTTTGATGGAATTCACCAGCGCTTTATGACCTCAAATTACAACAATTGGACATAAGACCTGTAAAGATAATGACAAGACAAAAAAGACATTTACTAAGGAAAAAATACAGTCGATCTCTCCATCATATCCTTATAGTTAAAACAACTAATTAACTTTGCATTGACCTGTATGAACATGAATTTAAGTTATTATTAGCGAAGAAAACCCTTAACGGGCTGAGAAACCTCTGTTTCACATGTATCATGTAGTAAAGGCATTTAAACATCTGAAACCTCTCCTTTGTCGTACAAGTCCTGCGGTTATAGCTAAATTGGTTGCATAAACTGCACTTTCTGGATTGACGCTTGTCAAATCAGTCAGATGCTTGTTGCAAAGAGATCCTTTTTTTGTTTGGACGCCTTTTTAAATGGATGGAGCGTCGCGCACACCGCTTGTAAGAAAATCATTGAGCACAATTAAAAACTATTAAGTTGATTTCGTTTTTCAGAACTTTTATATAAGTATGTCGTTGCTTTTATAAGTTGTTCAAAAAAAATCACAGATGTCATTTCACAGGAAGGTCTAAGCGCAGATAGTGCTTGAACTCAAGGCAAGCCAACTTCTTTATAGTAACCGCACGAGCATCGTGCAACTCCATGTAAATAAACAATTAATTCGCCATGAAGCTTCCCGCTCCTGGTCTAATTGCGACGACGATTTCGAGCACGCATCAAATCTACACGGATACTTTAAAGCCAGTAATTTGTCGTTTGCGAGATGCATAGAGATAAAGTACTCCCCACCGTTTTACTTTTTGTGCGTATTATACCCACTTGCAAGCGACTTACTGCTCAACTTCCAGCAAAAGTGTAGGATAGGAAGCCTGCGGATTTCTTTCAACGCGCTATTTACTAATTCTAAATTTCAATGTTGAAGTGTCGAATCTTAAAAATGGCGAAAGTCTGTCGATGCTCTTTCACGACCCAAATCCTGCAGCCAAGAAAGCGTAGTGTTATCTATTAGATCAATTTTAGCTGCTACTTTTCGTACTACAGCTTCGTTCGGAAGCGGGCCAGAATCCACGCCATATTTCAGCACTTTGGACTTGCACTTTTTGTAGGAGTTTTCCATGCATGCCTGATGTAAAGTTGATGTGGATAGTCTGGTGCCGTCGCCCGCATAGCTTTCATGAGTCCCTAGTTCTGATCTAATATCACAAATAAGGGAGACGGATTTGTGTGGAATTGTTTAAATAAATAACCAGCTCCAGGTATTCTCAATCTACATTGATACAATTTGTAGCTCCGATGATTTATAGTCGTTATTTTCATTTCGAAAGCACGCAACAAGCAAATACGTTATCTAATATTTCATGAAAGTAACACCCACGGAATTTCCTCACTCGGGGTTTTCCCAAAATCTTGTATTTCTTCTCAAAAATAGACGCAGTCGCTCGAATCTAATCTTCATAATATTCAACTTAACCTTGTGATTTCGATTCTTCAATTTTGCAATGTTGAATAGAAAAAGACCGTAATGCTCAGTAACACTTCCAAAAAATCCACCTTGTATCGGTAGAAAGCGTTGACACAGTTCATGTGACTGGCAAAAGCTACTCAGTAATATTCTGTAACCACATTCGAATTATAATAGGAGTCACCTTGCGGCCAAAGTTCATGGTCATCTCCCTGGTTGCAATATTCGAAGCAATTTGCTTAGTAGTCGCAAACCATTAAGATTACTTGGTAGATTCGGGCCCCTGGCAAGAGTGTGGTGAAAATCTGGTGGTTGGGTCGATTGTGTGCGACAACGCAAGTTGTACAACAAAAAGACTAATGTCTTGTGTGCACTGGGCTTTGTAGTGTCGACCATCACTTTTTTCAACGCGGAACGGAAGTTTGCATCTCTTAAAGAGCTTAATGACGGCCTGGTTATGTCGCTCTTTCTTGGTTAGCCCCTATCATGTAAAAATGCAAGATAGGTAGGTGCTGCTCGTCAACGCTTTACATTGTTTGTGTATCAAACCCCATATTACATAACTATGTTCAGTACAAGCTCAGCCGAGGTGACCCTCAATAAAAGCAGCCATTAATACTAAGTAGGTGTAGTCGGCAATATTCTGCAATGGTACGCATAGACGTACAGTAAGATTCGCCAAATCAAATTTATTGATTGATTAATTTCATTAAACGCTTTTTGATAAATCAGCTAATGATACGAAACGGTGATGCCTTCCCACGACTTTATTAACAACAGCAGCTTCTGCGTACCTGCAGTAGTAGCATTAACACTAAGAACGAGTGCAACTGCAACAGCAATAACAATAATAACATTAGAAATAATAACAACAAGAACCAAATCAATTACATCAATGAAAATAACAGCAGCACAAGTAGTATATGTATGTGTAAGACTACGGACGATGATAGGAACACGTGCTACGTCTTTTCATTGCCGTCCGCGCGCGCATAACCCCGTCCGGGCTGCTCCTGTAGAGCGGTGGTAGAGACCGAGAGAATATTACTAATGACAAATGACTGGCGACATGTTTTTTAATGTGCACCACTTTAACATGAGTGTAATATGAAATGGGGCTTTTAAGGGGCACGTTATCCTGCCACCACCCTTTCAATTATCAGCCACCACCCACCGATAAGTTTATAAGTTTTTATTGATCATTGGTTTTGCAGAAATAAACACAATACATCGGAATTACTAGGTAAAATAGTTTCTTATACAAACAGCTTCAATCCGTCAGCTAGAGGTTGTAATAAACCAAAAGTACCCACAGCGTTAGGTCCTCTTCTTCTTTAAATTAAAGGTATATTTTACGTACAACTTATAAATAATAAGCTACAGCAATCAATATAAAAAGTAGCTAGGTGTTTTCAAGCCCAATTTTTTTATAATCACACCTGTGTCCTCTTTTTGTGCTTTAATTGTAACGGGGTACCCTTTGTTTGGAGTGCCACAAAACTTCACGTTCACTAGTATGTGCAGAGGAAGCTAATTTACTCAAACTAGCTGTTTGAGTTAAGGTAAAAAGAGAATTGTATTTAAAGTAGTCAAGCTATCGATATAAGTTTAGTCTCTATGTGACTATATCAAAGTACGCCGTCGTATGACGACAACCTGCTCACCACTCATCGCGCGCGTCTAGCAGCAATTGGTGGTAATCTGTGGTTGAGATGTCTTATATCAACCAATCTTGGAGCAGCGAATGAATATTATCAAAAAGGGGGAAATATTTCTTCACAATTATCTATCTCGCATAATATTGACAGGGAATTGTCATGCTAGACAATCTCCCTATTGACACCGTCTGGTGTCAATATCATGTGACGGGCTACCTCGTTACAGTCATTCAATATTAATACCAGTTTTTTTATTGCTTACTACAATGGAAAGTATTGGGCCACCGCCCAGGTTGCGTACGATTGTTAGAGATAGCAAAGGCAGCAAATGAAATCCATGCATAACAACAAATTTGTGCCGTAGTATCCAAACGGAAAAAGGAATGAGATTTATGCCGCGCGGTCCTTCAGATCACCCTGGGGTGAACTTCGCGTACTCTGACTCAGTTTGAACTCCTTACAGGACCCACACCCCTCATTGCACTATGGGGCTTTTCGGCCAGTAGGGTATCCAGCCCACCCAACTATCACACGCCTTGCGCGGGTTGGCAGGGCGGCCATTTCTGCGTGGTTGCTCGTCTACTATATCGGCCTATCTCCGGCGCCCTGTAATCGAACCCCACCGGGTATCGATCGAGATACGTCCCGGGCCCAGTTCCAGCGATCTACCACATGGTCACTGGGTTCGGTGGACTAAAAAAAACAGGCAATAATAGTATGATGTCGTAGAGAAATCATTTCACCCTGCTTCTAGTCAATCCTCTTAGCGAAATGATACGACCTCACTGACGTGTTCTGCCAGGCGTAGCACTGGGTTTTTGCTCGGGGTCAGGTTAAGCTCGGCAGTTTTGTTTCGTTTCGCGTTAATTACGACGCATGTTTGACAATCGATTATTGGCACTTCCATCTTCATTCTTCAGATTGTAATGCCGAGTCGTTGTCATAAAATAGCCTATTCGTCACTATTCCCTTGGTTTCATGTAATTACCACTGTTCTACCTTCGTAGATAGTGTCCGTACATCATTTTATTCGGTCTATACATTTTAGTATTATGTGCCCCCGCGGAAGGAAAACCGAGAGCATTACGCTTTACTCGTCCAGAATAACCTGGCCATATCCTTCTTGCTCTTCTGTTAGATGCAGGATGAACGATTTGAGTCCATAAACGTAGTGTGCTAACCATGTAGATTAAACGCAAGACGTCCGTCTTGTTTAACAGCACCCATCTTTTTATATCGCAAAAAACCGCTCAATGGCTTTTACAACGTTGTATGTATTTTTGACCAATAAGATGCATTGTCTTTCAATATGAATAAGAAAATACGTTAAATACTGGAGGATGGTGGCTAATCAACGAAAGGGTGGTGGCTGAAAAACCTTTTTTTATTTTCTTATTTTCTAAGGCATTTTTTTAATTTCCCCGTTATCAGCGTCATTTTTTATTCCAGTAATCAAATCAGGCTTTTTTATTTTTCCTACTGATCATCTTTGCGCATATCACCTATCCGTTAAATTGTTTGCTTCGTTTAAAGTACGGGTTAGCATATTTTAAGTACGAATCAGCACCGCCTGTTTTAAGATTAAAACGCTGCAAAATAGATCATTGAGAAACATATAATGCACACAGCGATAGATATTTCAATAAAGCTGCTCCCATTCGATCTGAATCCATGCACTTTCAGCCAATCCAACCGCTCAAGCTTTGTGACCATACAAAGCTCTGGTTGTCATGGGTCCCCTGCTACAAGAGGCGCACTTCGCCTGCTTCGACGACGTCGACGACAACCTCTCGTCAGGCGAGTCGTCGCTGCCGACATTTGTGATCCCCAGTCCATTTGCGTGCTCCCAGCCGCTCAGAAGCGCCACAGGTAGTACACTTCGTCGTGTCCCGCTTTACATTTCCACCAACCATTTCTATCTGCAGTTTCTAACGCCTCTTTCTAACGGGCTCCCTCTATCTGTCTGAATGTAAATGTACATATGTGTACGTTGTGCGCAGCTCATGCTTCGAAATGCCACGCTTCCGGCAGTTTCTTTTTCCAAAATGAAAGTTTACGTGATCGCTTTGTGTGCTGGCGAGTGGTAAAAAACGTGCTTCTACTGCGCGAATGGAGTTTACACACGACGTTAACTCAAAATGGCATCCGGCTGGAATTTCCTGCACCGATCGTTGCTTCTGGAGTGTTTGCAGGTGAAAGATGGAAAGGCGAATTAACTGAAGGCGACGACACAGTGACGATCAATGTCGTGACTCACGCCGCTACGATCCACCGGTTCACTTACTCCATGCCGAGTAGTCAAAAGCTTAGCATCTTTTCAGAATCTGACGTGAATGCATTGCCGGAACCAAAACCAGCTACTTACAGTCGCTGCGACATGTTGCAGAGTTTAAACTGCAACGAAACGCTGACTGCTGCATTCTGGGTGAACGAGTACACTGTTGTATTAGGCACGGATGCCGGTCACGTGGTGGGTGTGAATTTTGGCTTGTTTGGTGAGTCGAACGAATTGCGAGAATTTGTATTCTCCGACCGGTCCATGGTAAGTTGGCTCTGGCAGAGACTCGTTCAATCTGCCGCAATCAAGTTAACAGGGAGCGTTGAAGATCGTGCGAAGCAGAAAATTGGAGCGGCGATACTAGCTGTGACGTGTTTTCAGATCGATGAGGACGACGACAATACTGACGAAGACATTTGTGTAGTTACCATATCAGCTGACGGAGTGCTTAAAGCATGGAGTTTCAGCGCGCAGTCGTGCATAGGGCGCCAACAGCTTCGAACATTAATGACAACGGAATCGGACGGTTGTGCTGGGGAGATTGAAGAACGAGGCTGGAACGACGAGGACATGATCAGTAATGACGGAGATCGCAGCAGCAGCACTGGCACCTATGCTACCCATGCTAAGGTGATAGCTCTGTCTCCCACAGAATCAGACAACTGCAGGTTGCTGGTTCATCTGGACATTTCAGCTGCCCACTCACCGGAGATTTACTTGCTGCGAGGTGATGTACAGTTTGCTACTGTGTCACATGGGGGGCCTTGTGGCGGTGAGCTTGCGCTGAGCATAGCAAGAATTTTTGCTGTTAAGCCTCCAGAGCAAAAGATGAAGCGAGGACTGAAGATGGTAGATTTTGCAGTGGACAAAGATTTGCTGATTTCGTCATGGCGTTCGCTGGAAGGAGATGAAGTTTATATTCATCCAAACCCAATGGCGCTTACTGGTCCAAAACGCGTTTTGGGTCAGCTTGTGAGTAGCCTTGATGTGCAGATGCAAAAGTACGAGGTGGAGGATAGTGACTGGCCATTTGATGTAAATGGGGAAGACGCTGTGACCCAAATTGATGATTTCTTTGTTGAGCGAGTACTACTGCCTGGGCGTTTTTCTCGACAAAATCTGTTGAACGCTATCGAGGAGGTAAAAAATGGTGCACTTGACAGTTCCAGCTTCCATTTCCCGTTCGATCGCTGTTTGCGAAAACATAAGGACGTGCTAATTCATCTTGTATCGAGCCGATGCACGGAGTCGGCTGGCGCCGCCGTTATTTGCAATCGATTGGCGCCTAATATGCAGCGTATCATGATCTGGAAGGAGCTTATTGCGCTGTGCTCGAAGTATTGGCGGGGCGCAAATACGCCTATTGGTTTTGCTACGACAACCAACGCGCTTCTTCCTGGTGCGCCTGTGATGCTGCGCCGCAACCGTGTCTCACTTCTGTTTCCGTCTGCGCCACTACTTACTGCTGCATTTACCATGCAAGTGGACCAAGTTTCGACGCGTAAGGATTGTGTGGCCGCTCTCGTGTCTGAAGTCCTCCCGATTTTTGATGCGTTTCCCAGCCAAAAGTTTCAGTCATTTATACAGCGCGAGGTTACTGATGTAGCCGTTGATCAAAAAGTGGAATCCGCTGTGGCTTTAGCACGCCACTGCGTTAGCCTCGGTCTGGAGTCGAATATGCCCGCTATTGCTGGCCGAACTGTCAGTGCTGATCTTGCTCTCACCCGTGCGATTCTGCGTTTTAGCAAGTTACTTGGTAGTGACGGTGTCTTTCACAACCAAGTTTTTCGTGACCTGGTTGAGCACTACTTACCGCCCGGGCTGCGGCATGATCTTGGGGCTCACAAAACGTCGCCGTCGAAGCGTGAAAAGAACCTCGTAATTGACAATGATACGAACGTGGTTACTCACAAGATAAGGTCTACCGCGGCAAACGCAGCTATCCCGAATAACGACCACTCGACCATGCGCCAACCTTTATTTGCTGGTCATGAAGTGTGCTATGCTTTCGGCCAAGTGGTATCGCACGCAATCGACGAGATGTGCACTCAGACACTTCGTGTTGTACTTTTACTTGCGTACCTTGTGGATAGTCGACCTGCGTTTTTGGGTGCTGCAACAATAAGCAAGATCGTACAGCTTTATTTGCCTCAATCAATTACAGTCTATCAGCGGTGGCGGCTAAGCCAGTGGGTTGTGAGCCAAGGTTTCACACAGTCAGGTGTCGATATAGAGTTTGCATCACCTGCTGCGATCACGCCGCCACTGCTGCAAATGTTTCTTCTGGACATTAATGGAAGATTAAACGGATCGGACGATTTCAAGCGGGTACTATCGGTGTTGCAGCTTGCTAGTGCAAGCAACTACGTGCGTAGCGAAGTCGTGCATGACGTACTGATGGCGTTTGCACGCGACATCCTACAGTGTGTTTCACCCTCAAACGACACCCTGATGCGTTTTCTACAGAAGCACCAGCAATTTCGACTTTTGCGTGCAACCTTGTGCGGCAATCTCAGTGACATCAGCATGCACGGCTCATGGAAGGGGATTGTTGTCAGCACTCAGCACGGCAACGAGGTGCACAACTGTGTGCGCTCGATCGGAGAGTGCCTAGCATTTGAAGGCCGAGAAGCTGCAGCTCGCTTTGGCGATACTATTAATGCGCGTAATCACGCTCGTTCGTGCTTCCAACAAGCTATTCGCTGCTATAGCATCTGCCTGACAGATCTTTTGCAGGATCGAAATGACTGCTTATCACTGTCAGGAAAGGCTTTGGAGCAATTTATTTACGAGGTGGTAGGGTTATTGAAGGAGACGGTGCCCCGGGGATCTATCGACCTACTGCTGAGTTTCCTCTGGAATGTGGTTTCGGAGGCCCTAAGCTACTTGGCCCAGTTCGACGGTTGTGAGCCGAGTTTTGCAGTGCAATCCTTCATCTGGGTAAATGTGTTCAAGTATTCTGTAGAGGTTCAACTTTTTCGTGACGCGCATCTTGCGCTCATGCACACGGCAGAACTGTCGGCGGCTTGGGATTGCTCGAAGAGTGCGGGGGACACTGATGACATTGCTAGTGAATGTATGAATTACCTTGTGAAGGAACTGTTTCGCTACGGTCACTTTGGCCTCATCTGCGAATTGCACTGGGGGTCACTGCAGCCGCAGGTAGAAACGTATATTCTATGGCAAGCGGGGAACGCTGCCATTGTCCAAGGCGATAGCTCAAATGCAAGCACCACCCGCTATTACGATTTGCTCTTCGCGTTTTATATGCGCAACCAGGGACTTGCAAGTGCCGCGTCTGCGTTGTATGCTTTTGCGTTGCGTTTTCAGCTGACGCTATCGACATCTAAAGCTGCATTTGAGGCACAGCGCAATGCGTTGAACGCGGCCTGCAACGCCCTGCAAGCGCTTCCCCCTGAGAACCGCTGGTTTGTGCATAAGCTGCACACCAAGCGGCCCAAGTGTTCTTCGTTGAAAACACCTGAGCACGCCAAGGTGGTGCCATCTACGCGTGTGGTTACGCTCGAGGATATGAAATGTGATTTGTCTGTACTAGATGGCAAGCTACAATTGCTTACACTTGGCTGTTCGGAAGGCATGTTGCTGAGCACGATGGATGGAGATGAGGTGATTGCTTTGCTGGTTGATGCTGCCAACACTAGCTGCCACAAAACACGAAGTACAACTCAGGCTGAGCGTCGGAGGGCTGGATTACACTGTTTCGAGATCGCAGCTGACATTGCGGGTAGGAGTCCGGTGGCTACAATGTCGAGTTTGACGAAATCGTTGGCTCGGTACTGCGTTAACTGCGAGCACCCGTCGATCTCGCGGTGTGACAGAGACTTCTCATGGGAACTTCTTGAGATGTTTCTGGTGGATGCAGGATCACTAGAGCAATACGAGGTTGCTGCAGAGACTGTTCTTGAGTTTTGGCTGCAAGAGGGGCGCAAGCTTGTGCTCCCTGTATGGCTGAAGCAGCGGTTGTCGAGTCCAAGTTTGGGAAATCCCGTCCTGCTGCTAGGATTGTATTTGAAACATGGCCTGCTGCTAGAAGGTCTGGAGCTGGTCGAGAGTCTACTGCTTGACATCACCACCACGGACAGGGAGACTAAGCAACTCATGTTCAGCACTCACTCGCAGGTAAAGTCGAGCGCTCTCCCGTTCGAGCTTCCATGGATTCCGTACAATCTCGTCGATGTGCTTCTGGATTCGACAGCAGCCGTGCTGAGCCAAGGCGTGAGCGAAGACGTCTCGCATACTGATGTGGCAAGATTGCGCGAACACGATCATAGGCTCCGTCAGCAGCTGTCTCAACACTTTCACTCGATCAACGCGCTGCAGCAAGCACAAAAAGCTAAAAGCCTCGCGCGTAGTTGCAGTGCTTTAGACACGTAGACAAGCTTGGGTTGACTGATCTCCAACGCTGTTGACCACGACTAACTTGATGTGCAGGTTATCTTTATAAGAATGAGCCCGTTCTAATCCGTCAAATTCGACTTGCTTCCTTTCGTCTACGCTACACGAAAGGATAGCTACTGTCGCAGCTTTTTCAGCTTCTCGCCCTTTGTGTGTTCGAACCTCTTCGCCTGTTTGGCCAAGCTTGCTTCACAATCTGGTCGTAGTCATCAGCGCTAGCAAACATCGCCTTGCGCTTCTCACCAGCCTTGGGTGGGATTTGCTTCTTTCGCTTTGCATCCAGCACTTGTAGCTCCTCTTGAAGCACATCATCGTCACCATCCATTCCGCCCAAGACCGAGAAGTCAGATTCATTCTCAGAGTCACTGTCGTGCTCCTGTTCATCCACATCGTCGTCGTCCTCCCAAACAGCAGCATATTCGGAGGTGTCTTGAGACTCCTCCGTCTGCTCGTCCTCACCGTCCAGTGTGAGCTCCCCAGCGCCACTCGAATCACTCCAGTTGCCCATGTCGAGGTCTTCGTCATCCAGGTTGCCGTCTTCCATGATACCTTCGGCCAATTCCTGCGCGAACGCCTCGATCTCTTCGTCGTTTTCGCCTACACTCTCCATGTCAGAGAATACGTCACCATCACGCTCATTTTTGACCTTCTTGGTGCGGCGGCTCCCAGGATGCACCGCAGCACGAGAAGCACGTTCTTTGAAGAACTTATAAAAGAAGCAATCACTCGCATCAACCGTAGCCTCGTTCTCTTGCAGCACGGTCTCAGTGTTTATGGGTGCAAACGTCCAGTTCTTTGCCTTCGCCCCAGTATTACCACGCACCTCACCCGCTTTATGTCGGGGCTTCTTGTTGACGAACTTTTCGAAAAATGCGTGCATCGTAAAGTCCACCAACGGGTCTCCGCTGTACTGAATGCCAATACCCTTGTTGTCGACAAGCTGCCGGGTGAAACTCTGCACGGACGGGTGGTAGTGGTGGGCCAACAAGTCAAGCTCCCAAGCGCAGGTCGTTTCGGCACCAGAGAAGAGCGGATTTCGCTTTGACGCATCGTAGATACATCCGTTCGCAACAACTCCAGTATCCCTACACAGGACGCTCTCACGGGTAGATTTGTCGTCAGAGCTCACACTTGCAGCTTCCTTCGACTTCTTCAAGTCCGCTTCGGTCTTGCCAAACATCCGCGCAAGGATTTTGGCTGAGCGCTCTGCATCGGATGGACATTCATTGTTTGTTAGCATCCCAACTTCTTCTGTGGTAACCTCATCATTAGATCCTTCATTCTCACGGCCTAGTTCGCAACTTTCCATGGCAGCGTCATGAAAGGACTCAAAGTCTGCGGCAATGTCATTTGCTGATCCACCCTCGGGCTGGTCAAGTAGGGTACGGAGCTGGGGCTTTACCTTTAGCAGCTTGGACAGCAAAAATAGCACAGCACATGTAAAGGCTGGAGGCATCACGCTAGCAAGCTGAAGCAAGCGCTTCACAAACGCACTGGTCCGCCCGGGTGACACATCTACTTTCATCGCGCGGAAAACCAGATTCAGAAAAAGCGTGTGCTTAGACGTCTCGCGCACCTTGGGATCAATCAGCTTGTCGTACAGCGCAGTGTAAAACCGATCCGAAACGGAGTTGGTGCTTTTCATGACCTGAAACAGCAGCATAAGCGCTTGCACACTTGTGCTATGGTGGGAACGGTGTACAACTTGAAATAGCGCGTCCATCTCTTTGGTCATGTCAGCCGACGTGGCATTCGCGTATGGAAATGCACGATTGACGCCAGCTAGCAGTGCACTCAAAAGCTTACGGTCCATGGCCTCTTCCGAGCCGAGACTTGCAGCTTCCCTCTTTTTGCGCTCCTTTGCACTCGATGTAGCCATCTTTTTCACCGGCTTCTCCGCATCATTTTGATGCACCTCCTTCGAGAAGAGACCGAAATACACGGAGATCAAGTGTCCAGCCAAATCGGCATTCACTCCATTGCCCTCGAGAAAAATTTGGTTTAGAAACAGCACAGCATTGTACTTTGCACGATCCGACACTCTTGGACGGGTAAGCAGTCGTTCGACCTCATCCACTACCACACGCTTCATGGCCGGGTGTTCCCGTAGCAATTCCTGCAACATGCGATGCAGGTATGCTGCAATTTTGCGGTCCGGATCTCCAAGTTTGTTGACCAGCATAGCTAACAGCACAGCCTCCTGCTCGGGTTTGGCTCGTAACAGGGTGTTGGCTGCTCGCAGACACGCACGCTTGTAGCTGTCGACTGCGTCGTCCATTCCAGCTGCCAAGACACTTGTAAGTTGCGCATAAGCCGTCCTTAGACAGTGCTCAAAGAACCAGAGTAGTAAATGCGCGGGCGACTTCTGGGCCGCACGTAGAGGGTGCTCGCGAAAGAAACGCAGCTTGGCGTTGTCTGGCAAGAGAGTGTTCACAAACAAATCTTTGAGTGAGTCCACAGCCATTAGACTCTCGCGACGTGCCTTCTTGCTGGCCATTGGAATGAGCTGACTGATCCGCAGCAACGAGTGCAGCTTGAAGCGGCTCTGCGCCCTCTTGACTCTTGAGCTCTAAAAAACCGTTGAGGACATCTGTCGGCTTGTCGTGCACCATTAGCACTAGACCATTGGGGACGTTATCAAGCGTCGGCCAAGAAAAAGATGCAGCCTGAAAGCCCACAGCTCCAGCATGCGGCAGGCTGCGTATGACTCGCAGGCAGATCGAGACTAGCAACATGACGTCCTCGAAGTCCTCGTTCCTCTCTGCTAGGATGGCGTTCTCGAGTACTAGTAGTTCCGAAATCTGCGTCGTCAATGTCCAAATATCGACGATAGCTGTCGACAGCAACAGGAGCGTTGCGAGCGACTTGCAGGTGTCGCGTGAAACAACAAACGAGCGGCCTCCGATGTCTCACATTCAATGGAGACCATACCACCACCTCCTGGTGGGCAAACACGTTTGACTTCAAGCCACACGCATCGCACACGGTTCGACGAGTTCATTGAGACCGGCATTGTATCCTGCAGCATGCCTAGGCAGTGATGATGGTATTGTGAACAGTGAGTAGGCAGGTTCATAAGACAAGGCGGACGAGCGTATTACGAACCGTGCGTGCAACGAACTAACAGTGACCAACGCAGGCGTGAACAGTGACAGCTCTACAAAATCTCTCCTTCCACTGGCCCCGATTGTTTCGCTCGACAACACTCGGTAAGCTTCGTGCACCCATTCACTGCATCGCAACAGAGTGATTAGAGAGAATGACAAAGATCCGAACGATTGTCAACGGTCTCGAGTTGTTATTTGATTACCACACGCAGATAGGCTAACGACCAGAGAAGCTACGAATATCTAAAGGCTTCCGGGCGTTTGAGAGGAGATAAACCAACATCAAATAACAAAACAGCACCTAGCGAAACTAGCGGTGAGCGTGGCCGCGGTGGCCGTGGCCGTGGTGGCCGTGGCCGTGGCCGTGGTGATGCGAGTGCGTCTTGACAGGAGCTACCACCAAATTCAGCGTTGTGCGCCCAATATATTCATGAAAGTCTATCACGATCGACCTCACCATGAGCCCGGGTTCTTTTAGTAGTCCCTTGACAACCTTTGGATCCGTTTTCAGATACCGCACCGCACATTGTTTGTGTGTACATCCAGTGGCCTCCCATAGACTGAACTGGGCATCCCCCACCGCTTCCGCCACTTTCGCTACTTTCGTGTTCCCGGATTCTTTGGCCAAGTGCAGCCAAAACGCAGTTTGCTCCGGTCCCAGATGATGCACGAGGATGTGGTGCATTTTTTCGTTCTTGTCTACACCTTGAACTTTGCCGAGACGACCGTAGAGCGCCGTGAACTCGTGACTCTTGAACAGTTCGACGGCTTTCTTCTGATGCAATTTGAGCATTTTCGGGTCGAGAGGGATATTGACTGTGGTGAAAGGGTGATTTTTTATGGCCTTGAGGTCTACGAGCTTTTGCGTTATTTCCGAGGCCTGGATGATCTCGCCGACAGTGTGACGGCTTGCAGTTTGTTCCTCAAGGAGTTTCAGCCTCGCCGGCTTGAAGATGTTCATGAACCAGTCGATGATGACTTGCGGCAACCAGGCGCGATTCTCCTCCACGCCATCCGCTCTCACTGGACGCACGTCTGCGACACTGGTCCCTTTGATACCATCCAATTTAAGAAGGGGAGCTGGCGATGGGGATGGCGGCAGGTTCTGGGCCGAGGCGAGATCAGTCATGAGGACTAGCGAAGCGCTCACGATTAGGGCAAGAAGGTTGGTCAACCTCATGGTCGAGTTTGAAGGACGCGGCCGAAGGGATAGTGGGCAGTGGACGGCAAAAGGAGTTGTGAGCTTCAGAAGGTGAGACGCTGGTCCTCTTGGCATCAAGGCTTTCCCGTATGGTAAGGCCCGTGACTGGGTTCGCTCTTGCGTTCGAGTCGCCGGAGCTCCGCGCGGATCGGATGGACCTGAGAGCAGCAAGCGAGAAGATCCGGCAGAAACTGCGCCCTTGTCTGTCGAGGGGCCCATCCAGCACCAAGCAAGAGCACTTGAGCTGAAACTGCTCGTCCAGCTGAGCTTCTGCTGTACTTGCTTTTGGTATGGTCGGGCCTCGACTTTTGCATTTTGTAGCCCCGCGCAGTACAATTTCTTCACGACGACCAGATGACACTGGGATTGCTGGGTCACTATTGCTAGACCGATTGGAGCAGTACTTAGGTTATAAAAGGCACTTCCGGTGCCGTCTCACACACTGAACTGCGTCGTTTAAGGGGATAAGCTCCGTCTTTGTGTGCAAATGCGTGCGTGTAGCCAGCGAGATCCGACGACTCGAGTCCATCACCACCACGTCGGTGCTGCATTCCTGGCTTGGACGATTTCGGAGCAGATCGTCGTGGGTAATAGACAGTTATCAAAACCTCCCTCTCCGAAGGCTGGGTAATAGACAGTCACGAGTCTTTATCCGAAGACTTTAAACCTTGACACTGCCTTTCCCGAATTTCGAGGGAGTGGGATACGAGACGTTGAGGCTCTGCGGCGATTGACTTGAAATAGAGGAGTCTAGTTTACTGGCAATTCAACAATCGCTCCAATTTCTGCAGCTTCTACGTCACTTCCCAAAATGCGCCTTCGGGCAACAACGGTGAAGCATCGCAGCCACCCTAAGAGCCAGGCGAACGGCCACCCTTCCCCGGGGTGGGAAGTCCCCTAGCGTGTGGCCCAGATTAATTGAAGGAGACCTTCTTGCCGCTGCGTGCGCTACAGGAGGCAGCAGGGGAGCGAGCAACAACCCAGACACCCCGAGGTGAGGGATACGGCAACAGCAGTTGTCACCCCGCACCTCGTACCTGCTTTTCTACTTCAGCCTTCGAGTTGTCGGCTCGGTCGCCGAGCTTGACTTCCAAGCCCCACGAAGCGAACTTGCCTAGAACATGATTAAGATCGGCCTAGTCCAAATGCGTTAGCGGCCCATCGGGGATGATCGCTCTGGTACCCGGCGTTTCCTGCGACTTCAGCGCCCTTCCTGCGCCCCGGAATGGACGTCCGATTCCACGTGCCCTTTACGAATAATTCTCCATGATGATCGAAGAGCCGAGCCAAGCAGACTAAGCCAGCGGGGCGAAGATGATGTAGTTTTAGCTGCAGCACATCAATATCGTATAGGGCATTAGCACTTGATCGACATTCAGGGTTAATACAGCTTCTTCTTCGTCAAGCTTCTGCTTGCTAGTTCTAACAGATTCCACATAGACGCAGTAACGTCAATATAGGTCGGAGCAACTAAAAGGTTTTAAGGGAATATATGCGACATGATTGTTAATTACAGTCATTCATTTATCGTACTGGTTGCTGCAAATAGATGGACAGCACCTCATCACGCTGCACAATTTGTGCTGCTTTTTTAAATATTATTAGTATGCAAATTTAAGCTTAAGGTAATTAGAGATTGAATTTCGATAGAATTGTGTTTGGGGTCTATGTGGACAAATATTCTAGATCTAGCGACGGCAATACGTATTCTACTTTTGGATTGTCTGATGAGATCATTTATTCAGATAGATGCTAACTCGTGTCTTATGATCAAAAAATTTCAATCGGAATCCGAGAAGTCTAGTCCGTGCACCGGTTTTCTTGATGTCCGATCGGAGCTAGCCACTACTGTAGAGGACAAGGTACTCATCAAAGGGAAGCGCCAAAATCTAGGGAGCTTCGCCCATAAGATGTTAGGCTCCCTACTCTTATTGGTTTTTGAAGGGGAGCCCGAGAGATTTTTCTACGCTCATACTCGTCCGCAGATCTGATTTCTACACAACATATATACCTGTGATTAGACATTTGTTTCCCTCCAAATTTTGTAAAGGTTAGTCAACCATGAAACAATGCAAAACGCTGTAAATCAAAAAGGTCGCTTTAAATTTAATACACAATGGTTTTTACCCGGGCACTGAAACGGGGCTAATCGTTACATATCAATTTATAGAAATTGTTAATAGAATATAACTATAAGAGTTATATTCTCAGAATATTGTCAGAAGGACAATTATTCTGCAGCACTTACGAGTAGTTCCTAATTGGTTGATATAGGCCAATATCTCTCCAACAAAGACGCGCCACGACAGACGCACGCAACGAGTGGTGAGCAGATAGTTGATGTACACATTTGTATTTAGACATAGTTAGACGAGGATAAATAGTGATTTATTAACAGACACTAACTATTATAAATAAAGTTCTACTTTTTACTTTAACCAAGTACTCGCTTCTTCTTACCGTCTTCCTCTGCACGTACCAGTGTACGTGAAGTTACGAGGCACCGCCTTATTCTGTCATCAGAATAAGTAGCTTGTACTGTCACCAGTACAAGCTTCAGGGTGCCTGGTTACACCTGGTAGCACTCCGTAGTCCGTCCAAGGACCGCGTTCATATCCAACATGAATATGTTAGATGATGAAGATGACCAAAGCTTTCACGCTACGCGTGACGGCTACTCCCATTTGAGCGATGTCGAATGGGATGCGGTTGAACGAATGGGTTCAACCATGGGAATCCATGCTGTTAGCGTCATGCTAGGGGCTCTCAATAGAGATGCCCAACATGCTACTATCGCCAAGTTCATTCAAAATGAACTTGACGCAGAACGCGAGAAAGTAGCCTTGCTTCACTAACAAGGTTCTCAACAAGCAGAGTTGTTGAAAGAGCAGGCTGCTCAACAGTTTAAACTGTTGAGACAGCAGCAGGCTGCTGCTGGTGGGTCGATGCACTCGCGTCGACCCGAAACCTTGAAGATTGACATCTCTAAGTATTGGGGGGTCGAAGAGGACTCCCTCTTGAGATGGTTCGTCGAATTAGATGACGCCATAAGGGCGCGTCGCATCGACGACAGGGATATGCAGGTTGCATTTGCCCAATCAAATCTGGCAGGACGTGCCAAGCCTTGGGCTTTGGGGCTCAAGTTGCACGACCCATATGCGTTTGGGTCGCTGGAAGTCTTCAAGTCGCGGCTCAGACTAACGTTTGAACCGCCTAGAGCTGAGTTCAGAGCTCGAACCGAACTCTTGAAGCTCAAGCAGGGTAAGCGTGATGTGCACGCTTACGCGCAACACATACGACATCTTACGAGTTGTATAAGTTCCAATCCGGTTCATGAACACACGTTGGTTTCGGTGTTCATGCAGGGTCTTGCGGATGGTCCCGTCAAGAATCACCTGTTCCGACTTGAACTAGATTCACTAGAACAAGCCATTTACATTGCGGAACAGGAAGACTTCAGTCTGAGACAGGCTCGCGCCAGCTCGACATCATATCGTCAACCGAGACGATATGACAACGGAGGTCCAGAGCCGATGGAACTCTGTTATTTAGAGAGCGAGAAGGCTCGCTCTACAGACTACAAGAAGTTGCAGAGATGCAACAGATGTCAAAAGACAGGACACTACGCTTACGAGTGTAGTGCCCCTCGTCCAGTGTCTCGCAACACTGGGCGTAGTAACCGTCCACCCATGAAAAAGGGGCAGGGACGAGGGTCCGCTGTTGGTGCAAAGACGCAACAACGGGATGGACCGTCAAAAAACGGACAGGATCAGTAGGTGCGGAGCACCCTACTGGTCCAGCAACGTCAAGAGAATTTGTAGGCCTCTTGATGAAGGTTGCTCCCAACACACAAACGTTGTGCGTTGCTGCTCTAGGTAATGAGATCTCACTCATTACCTTGAAACTCGAAGTGACGAATAAGTTGTCCCTTCGAGCTCTAGTTGATTGTGGGGCGTCCAACAATTTTGTGCGACGCCAATCGCTAGAAGATTGTCACTTTAAATTCAGTGAATGTGACACACCTCCTACGAGGATAACGGTACGTCTTGCGACAGGTGCATCCGTAACCGTCATGAAGCGTATAGTGAAGATCCACTATACGCTAGAAGATACCCAATATGACGATGACTTTATCGTATTGGATTTGGATGACAAATTCGATGTCATCCTTGGAATACCGTGGCTCAGAAGGTACGAACCACGGGTAAACTGGCAACATCGGACAGTAACGATGCCTGCCGCTTGTTCATCAGATGGCCATCTGATGAACGTTTTGGAGCGTCCACAAGCGTGTGGATGTACTACGAGAGAGTGCGATGGCCTCACTTGTGGTACGTTCGTTAGTACGACTGCACGAGACCTTAGTGTAACAAACGGTTACACTTCAGAGCAAAGTTCCGGCGGCTGTGAGGAAACACAGGCTGCGCCGAAGGTCCACCACTCGAATAAGTCGAGTGGACCGGGACAAAGATGTATCCCTAGCGGGGAACATCTAGAAGAGAAACAATCGATCGCTCAGGTTAAGCGAAACGATAATCCTAGATCGACTGGAGAGTCTTTCGTAGAGGATCTCGCTGTGGTTGCGCAACCCCAGCTAGAGGAAGTAAAGGGAATAAGTCCCGATATTACAAATACGGCGGAAATAAGTTCCCCGAAACCCGCGGGAATAAGTCCCCGGGACGCCGAAGGAATAAGTCCTTCGAGGCCTGAGGGAATAAGTCCCCAGGAAATGACAGAGACATTGAATGTCATAGTCAATAACGGATCAAGTGTAGGCTCTTATACACTTGATCTGATTGCGCCTCCGAAGTTGACTTCGGAGATCACTCAGTTGCCAACGCTCGAACATAAAAGGTTCTTGCGTGATCTGCGTAGTGGTAAAGTCAAGCAGATCTGCGTACTCGTCGCTGACGACGAGTGTGTAGCCGACAGAAGGTCAGCAACAGTGTCTGAGAACGAAAAGTTCTCGGTAGTTCATCTATGGACGAGAGTGTCCTAGATGAAAAGACACGAATTGAGCGATATGACTCTTAATCATGGGAATCGCTCAAGAAAAATCCTCCCTATGAAGATTTGGTTGGATTCAAGGATGTATTCCCTGAAACTGTTCCGTGCGAATTACCGAAGGATAAAGGTATTCGACACGAGGTAGAGCTTAAACCAGGCCCGAAGTACTGTGTCATGAAGCAGTGGCCACTGCCTCGTGAACAAGTACTTGCGATCGACAAGTTCTTTGCCGATCGTTTGG